AATTTTTTCGTTTCATTTTAGACCTAACAAAGTATATATGTTCTTGATCAGCGTAAAATTATATGATGATTTAGCCGTGTTCGTCTAGTTTTAAAACTGATTAAGATAGGAAGCTAAAATTTTGCACAGACAAACACTTGTGTGCAGGCAGGTCAAGTTAGAAGATGGGCTATATCGGTTCACGATATCGTATTGCCCACATATAACGGTACCTCCCGATTTTCGGTATTTTGTGATTTTATCCACATTTTTCAATGGAATTGTCTAAAACTCTACACAAAGAGATCTTAGTGAGTACTTTATCATCTGAAAGAGAATTGTCTATATAGGTCCACGATATTGTATATCCACCCATATAACGGTACCTCGCTATAATCGGTAATTTAATTTCATTGTCTGAAAATCCACACTAGGAGTTCACTCTGAGTATTTTACCCCTTTAGAGAATTGTCTACATAGGTCCTCAATATTGTGAAGCCCCGAAATAACGCTATACCCCTATATTCAATATTTTGATGATTTTAGCGACATATTTAACCTGAATTGTTTAAAAATTCATATTTAAAGTACGAAGCTCGGGTACTATTGTCTATGAAGGTCCACGTCTTCGTAAAGCCCACTTATAACGCCACCTCCCTTTATTCGATATTTTGATGTCATTAGCAACATTATTCACCGGAATTACTTCAAATTTGATGATATTAGCTACATTATTCAACGGAATACAGCCTATGACAAAAATTATGTAAATAGTATTTTTCGACGTTTTTTTTTTTTTTTTTTTTGAATTTTTTTAGAATCCATCAAAATGGTGGAGGGTATTAAAAGTTCGGCCCGGTCCAACTTATCTGCTTTTTTACTTGTTCTTTCTTCTTTCTCTGAAATAGGATTATTTATGGCTTTTCTTACCAAACCTTCATGAAAAAAATAATCATTCTCATTCTTAATCATTATGAATAAGATGATAAGTTCCTCCCGAAGTGGTTTTCCATGGTCAGCGAGAATATGACACTAGAATTTCCGTATTTTTCTCCGTTCCTCAAGATTAGGACTTGTTGGCGGGAAAAAATTCACAAATTTTCCATCCAACTATGGATTTTGTTCTAGTACAACAGTATTATGTTCCTCGCTTACTTTTGTACAGGTTATCTCTCTGAACTTCGACGATTTTCCACGCTTATTCCGAGCAAGCCAATTTTTCATTGATTTTCTCTAACATGTCAGATGTCGCACTTGATCTTTCTATGCTTACTATAATTGTACTAATTGGTACTAAATTTGGTAATGGCTGAAATCTGAGGATCTACTAAATTTGGTATTGGGTGAAGGGTTGAAAAATGATGTCACTGATTAGGTTCTGTGGGATCAAATTTCGAAATGATTTCGGTTAGAAAAAATGGATGTGAAACCCTTGTGCAGGGGTTTAACTTATATGTTATTCGTTACACTTCAAATCGAGAGATTTTGAAAATTTGTTGGTGCAATAAGTAATCGTTATACCCTACAACACTATGTGTTGGGGGTATTATAAGTTTGATTGGACCAAAAATTATGTAACACCTCGAAATATTGGATTCCCAACCTAGACGTCGCAATTATGGGTCGATCCTCACGAAATTGAAAATGGAGGTGGGGTTATGGTCAAAATATAAGGACATAATATTTAGGGATTAAAATGGACCACAAAATTTTCCTAATTCTGCAGTTGCTCTATTGTAGACCATTTTAGACTATTCTACGCTGAAGTTAGCATGGGGCTAGAGCTTAGGGCTGGGCAGAAGCCTTCCATTATCATCGGATAATTTTTAGTGGGGTCGCTGCCTTCTCTATGTTACAAACAAATGCACAAAGAAGTAATACCCCTATCAATATGTGGTGTAGAGTACAAATACGGGAATAATGAAGTGAAATTCTTGAAAAACTATGAAATCTGCTTCCGAAGTCGAGTAGGTCGACTGGCTCAACCAGAATATTGACTAAGCAAAGGCATGCTTAAAGCCACCTGTATAAGAAAGACAAAACTAACTTCCCGTTGTCTGTATATACATTAGACCAGATGCTATTATGTTAACCGATGATTTCCAGTAACAATTTCCAATAACTGTTGCAGATTTCTGAACATAATTTTAATTTTACTAACCTGAATTTGTTCCGCAGTGTAATTCTCTTTTTAATATTTGTTGCTTGATTTTTACGGAAATTTGAACGAAAATACATGAAATATGCATTTATATGAATAGAAGAAATTCGTGTCATTGTTTCAGATAGGTATTGTATTAATTTCACATAGAAGTTTTGAATAGATATTTTTTCTATTTTCTAATTCAAGTGGCCTGAAGACCTGTCAAATGATTTTTTTTGTATCTACTTTCATCCACGGTACAATGAATATAAGGTTCTCCTACCTTTTTTAAGAATTGTAAAAAATGACACTTGGATTGACACTTTTACTTTCAGAATTACCATAACAAAATATACGAAAATTTTTTTTGTTTATTTGATTTGTTTATGACAATATAAACAAAAACGCGAAAACTGAATGAAAGGTCAAAATTTATTTACAAAATCTTGTTCTACAAATCATTCAAAATTTATTTAGCCAACAAAATTTGTTTGTTTTGTAAAAAAATTTCACCGCTAGCTGTAACAAATATAAAGTTTGCATGGGAAAATTAAGTAATGTAAATCATACAAACCCATAAATTGAGGTAGAATGAACACATGCTCTGTTCCAAAACTGCAAGAATGAAAAATATGTCACTACAATAACAGATTTTTCTTTTATCGTATCGAAAAAAAAACCTGAATATTCTGGGGAACAAATGATATGTTCTTCAAAATCTTTCATTTACAAGTTTACCGAGGTGAATATTAGTAAACCCATTGCACAATGAACCCAAATGCAATTTTTCTGTCCAAAACAATTTCAACGTATTCATATGTAAACCCAATAGCGTTCTCAATATCAAATTTCAGAATATCAGCTTCATCCCTTCACCCAATACCAAATTTATTAATCTTTAGAATACATATCCAAAACAATGTACTTTTCTCCATCCTAGACACCAGCAGTGATCCAAAATTAGTACTATTAGTACAGAGACAGCAAAATTTCGAGATTCGAGATCTACATATTCACTCAATACCAAATTTTGTAACATTTAGTATTTTCGTATGAATTAAGTACTTATTTGTAAAACCATTCCATATCTTAATCCTTGTCAGCAACAGTATCGTAATATAAAATTTCACGATTGCAGCTCTATCCCTTCACCCAATATCAAATTTTGTTTAATTTAGTACTTTTCGAAAAACTATGGTACGCATTTCCAAACCCACCTCCAAATCTCAATCTCAGATACCAACAGTTATCTGAATTCAAAATTTCTGAACTTTATATATCTCCCTTGAACCATGAAGAAATTTAGTACCATTTAGTATATTTCGTACACACTTCCAAAGCCATCTTCATATGTCCAGGCTACACATGAACAAAATCCGAATTCCAAATTTCAAGCACCATTGCTCGGTCAATACCAAATTGTTCCAAATATAGTACTATTTAGTACTTTCCGTGAACTGTGCAGCTAACTATAAAGCTTGAATTTTCGAAAAGAAAACCTTTGTTACATCTATCCTGCACTTCATCAATGACTTTCAATCCATACTTTCGGGACTCTAAAATGATATGTAATCAAGCTTTAACTCTAATATTCTACATTCATTAGTTTTAATCTAACTAAATTTTTAAATTAGCAACCCACGTTGTTCCCAAAGTCTGGAAAAAGCGCTATGCAAGGGAGAAGTCTTCAGTCCTTTTAAAACACCAACCAAGAAGTGCAACAGGGTAGCTCCTCTTGAAACCATATACGTAAGTAGACGAAGATTATTTTCGTAAGTCAACATAACGACATGTTTTCGTGTCAGTATCTGCTTGGAGACAGTATCTGCATGGAGGTCATAAAAAGCATCATTTTGTGGATAGGATCTACATGATCGATCGACAAACCTTGATAGTTTTTAGCCAACTAAATTGAGGATAGTGAAGCCATTTCAATTGCGGTATGAATTGATAACATGCGGTGTAGGCCCGCACACAACCTGCTTCTTCTCTATTGCCCAATATGGCTACAGTCTGAATTCTTAAGCTTGGACATAAAATAAGAACAAAAATATAGATTTAAGCCACTACAAAATGCATACTAATGATTTTCAAAGGCTGGTGTATAGTCAGGTTAGGTTAGAGTATGCGTAGTTACAATAAGGATTGTCCATTGTGATCATCCTGCGTGAAAAAGAAAAGAAAGAAGAAGTAAAGAAGCATGTAAGGTTATAGATCTTTGTAGAAACGTAGAAGGAATGTGGAAAAGGGGCGCAAAGAATTGTGTATCAACTCTTGCGCCAGAGCCAGTAAGGAGTTTTTGCGAAATTACAAAAGGGATCCGTGTCTGAACACTGCAGTCATGAGTCGAATGTTCGTCGCATGATGGAGCAGGACAGTGGTATAAAAGCTGTCCGATCGTTTCATTATCTTCCTCATCCTCACACAGCCTGCAGTATTCGATGTTAGAGTTATTCCCTTTGAATGTTCTTGGTCGGATGTGGCAATGGTCTCTTAGTATCCCTATTGTTATCCGTAACGTTGATTTACTCATCCTTAGTAGAAACTTAGTTCTACGCGTGGAAATATCTGACAAGATTTGTTTTGATACCTTTCACCCTGTTTCGTTGTACCAACGCAAAAGGCTGATGTATAGTTTAGTATGACTTTGGATTGGATGCAGAGTCTTAGGAGCATCCAATGACAGTTAGGCCAAGAATTGTCATCTCAGTCCACTTTGTAGACCCATCCACAAAGATTTTAATACAAATACCAATGCTTACATTTCGTTGATGTTGCATGGGTCATGACGTCATGTCTGATCCCTACAGAAAACATCCGCCCCTCTCCCTCTAAACCATCTTTGATTCATTAAGCAATCAATATTGTTTTTTTTTTTTTAATTATTATACAGTGTAAAATGTATGAATTTATTCGAAATATGATATCAATGATGATTTTTTTATATATTTATTTTTATATATATAATTCACATAATGATAAGTCTTACTAGAAAAAATATATATCAAGCATTAGTTGTGAATAAATATATATGTTGGTTTGTTGTGTATGAGTGTCTGTGTGAATTCTATAATTATTATTGGTGGCCTACATACATGCTGTTATATATGTACGGCATTCTATTATTATGTATTATAAAATCATTTTGTTGTTCAAGTATTTTTTCAAATTTCATAGTGTTTTTTGCTTTTTTTCTAAAATGCATATTTTATGCATATATATGTAATAACCATTATTCAGGAATTTTGAAACACAAAACGCTTACTTATTAGAATATATAACTAAACAAGTACATTTTTTTGTTGTAGATTAAAAATAGGTTTTAAAAACAAATTAACATAGCCTATTTTTGTTATTGTAGAACATAAAAATATAAAATAATATATATATATTTTTTAATATATATAATTAAGGGACAATAACATATTCATGTGTTAAACTTTCCAATTAATAGTATTTTGTTGTATTGTAATAATAGTTTGTGTGTGTTGTGTGTATAAATTCATATAATAATACTTGTTAGATTTTCTTAATAATTGTTACATTTCCTTCTTCTTCTTCTTTGCACATTCCGGAATTTGGGAAATCGCTTTAGTTCAGGGGAAAGGGGGAAATGGTATGCAATACCTTATTATATAATCTTCAATGTTTAACTTTTATATTATATTTTGCTGCCGAAAAATATGTTGATGTGTCCGCTGTGTAAATATGTAAGTAACCATATTCCTTAATATAATTCAATTTTCTAATGGGTATCTAAAATAAATAGCTTATTGTATTTTATAGTTTTCTCTTCTAAATTCTATGCCACACAAATTGTTGGCATAAGTCAAAGAATTTCTGGTAATTTAAACATCAAAAAATGTAATCGAGATGAACAAATTGTGAGCTTAAAAAATATTGTAAAGAAATTCTTTGACTTCTGCTACAAGAAAATGCGTGGTTTTTGTTTTCTTTTTCTTCTTTTGTTATATCAATTCAAATCAATCCTTCCATTTATTTTATATTAAAAACTACTTAGAAGTCTAGAAAAATAATAGTATTAACAAATATAAGCATTATAAATTGTGCTTTGAAAACAAAAAAGAAAAAAAAAACAAAAAAAAAAAAGAATAAGCTGCTGCGAAATATTTCAGTTAAACTGAAAATTTCATAACCTGGCCGTTGTTGTTCAATGAATGCAATAACTTTTGCAGGCAATATGCTACATTTGATGTATTTGAATTCGGGCCTGTTCTTAAAAATGCCTGGAATTGCGTGTGCAACGCAATGCGCATGAGAAGCAATAACTTTGCATCACCCGGTGATAGCTCAAATTTAATCCAATTATCCAATGATAAAATGCTCTTGCTATTGGCATTACTTAGCGATATGTTTTCCATGGTCTTTGCCAATTTTAATTGCAAAGCTTCCAAATCATTTGAAGGTACAGGGGGAGGAGGTGGAGCGTTTGATGTCTCCAGGGATTTGTCAGAAGACTCTGAATCTGAGGCACCATCTTCATCGTCAGCCGTTGCATTATATTCATTGTCTTCATCATCGTCGTCGTCATAATCTTCTTCACCATAGGGACTGCCGGTGGCACTATTCAATACCTCACAGTCACGCCCACATTGCAGAGCAATCATAAGGGCGGGAACAACGGTATTCATGTTGATTGTACACGTATTCGAAATGCGTGACTTTTCGAAAAACACAATCCAATCGTGTGGCATTTGATTGATAAACTCCTTCAAATGCTTCTTACCTGGCGGATTCAGTGCCGATGATCTCTGTAATATAAGCTGCTTTTCCGCACCACATATCAACTTAAATTCCTTGCGATCAATCAATGCCACATTCGGATAAAATCCAGCCACCAAACACAATTGTATCATATGCCAATCATTGTTAAACATTTTATCCATGTAATTTATATTGAATTTATTTTTCATAACATCATTGATTTGTTTGCGTGTTGCGCAAAACATTTCCATGGCCGAGTGTGACAGGAAGTATTTATTACAGAAATCTCTCACCTTCCTTGGATTATGGCGGATTTCCATGTAGGCTTTGTACAAAGCCAATATACCCATTTGATCACTAAATGATTGGCCGGCAAATGATTTTCTCTGAAATGATGCCTGGCCCTGAGCTGAGCGATCTGTGGGCAATATAAATGGATCCTTAACCGAATGATACGAACATATGGTCAGTATGGGATCGTAGCATTTTAAAAACACACCATAAAGCAAACATTTGCCCAATTGTACGTCCAAAGGTATGTCCACCAAATGTTTGCCCAATTCCGTAACAGATTCATCATCTCGAAACACGCCCAAGATCTTTAATTTTCTTAATGCATTTTGAATGCTAAAACTGGAAGGAGGATTTAAGGATTTCTGTAAATATTGTTGAACTTCACACTTCGGCTCTAGCGTCTTGGCATACAGGCATATCTCAGTCAATGGGATGCGCATGAACTCCGGTATGCTAAATTGTGGCATAAATTGATATTTTGCCGTTGAATAGAGGCGATAACAGACACCGTTTTGAGTACGACCTGCACGTCCGGATCGCTGGCAGGCATCAGCCTGAGATATCCATATGGATTGCAATTGCGATGATTCAGTTATGGAGTCATATGTGTTCATTTTCACCTTACCCGAATCAATAATGTACGCCAAATCGGGTATGGTAATGGAAGTTTGACCAATATTTGTCGAGAGTATGATCTTGCGTACCGGATGCTGTTGCAGGGCCTCAAATTGATCTTTCGAATCCATTTGCCCATGAAGTATACACAATTTATATGTGCCACCGGGCAATGTGCTTTGTATTAAATTCCTCTGTTGTACTATGTCATTATAGCCCGGCAAGAATACCATTATGGCGCCCGGATGGGCATTACGATAAAGTCCTTCGAGCAGGGATAAAATCAAATCATGATCGACTTCATTGTCGTCATTAAATTGTTGCTGATATGCCAACAGGACTTTTTGTTTTTCCTTATCTTGTTGGCTCAATTCTTCCTGTTGTTTGACGGTGTTCATACACTGTGAGGCATTCATTATTATCTGCAAACACAAACCGTCCGGATGCAGACGCGCATAATCAATTGCCTCATAACCATCATTATCACGTATCAAGACATTCGCCTGCCTTCGTACGGCGAATTGTACAAAATCGGGCATATTACATTTACAGCCTGCCATCAGTGGGGTAATGCCACTCTCCGAATGACCGGCATTAATGGTCATACCCTCACTTTCAATATAATATTGAATTTGATCGAACATTTCATGTAACTCTTCTCGGGTTTTCATTTCCAAATTATCACAACACTGTTCGATGAGTGTGTCCAATACTTGTTGCAAATATTCATCCTCCAAACGTTCTGCCGTATTTCTATGACCCGATTCCAAAATATTATCATCGAACATTGTCACAGGCATGGGAAAATTATCATTCATCGAACGTAGATATTTTTCCATAAGGGCTGTTCTATATCCCGTGTGATAGAGAATATCTTCGAGATGATAGATTTTAACATCATACCCCTGACCGGGTACATTTAATACAGGACAGTTATCAAAATATTTCGATAACAATTGAATATCCATGGTGGCAGACATGAGAATTACTTTGAGATCTTTGTTCAATTTCAATTGTTCCTTCACCGTGATCAATGTAAAGTCTGTGTTTTTATCACGTTCGTGTATTTCGTCGATTATCAAATGTGACACCTTGCGAAATAGATCACGAACATCCGACATTAGTGAACGTAGAAAACAACCAGATGTAGTGTAGATTAAATTCGAAGTCTTTTTAACGCGACCTAGGGGGGAATTTGGAAAAGAACAGATATTTGTGAGAGGATCCATATCATTTATAAAATGATATACTTACTTTCCATACGTATTTGATAGCCCACCGTTTCTCCCAGCGGTTCTCCTCTTTCTTCAGCCACACGATGGGCCACAGAAACAGCAGCAACCCGACGGGGTTGAGTAACAACTATGCGACATGGTCTATTGCGTCTTGTGGCATCATTCAAAATGTATTGGGGGACTTGTGTCGTTTTTCCCGAGCCAGTTTCGCCATTTATGATGAAGACCTAAAAAGGAAAATTGATGTTAATAGAGTTCGAGATTGTCGTTGTTGTTTTAGCAGATTTGTTGTTGTAACAGAATGGTATGATTTGAAGGATCCTTGGGTCGTGGGACTATACTGTGATTCTAATCAAAATAAGTGATTTGACCACTAGTCAAATAAAATACTTTTCGGTCGTGCAATGGATTGAAGAAATAGAGGGTGACGAAAATAAATTCTAATTCGGTACCACTAGCTACAGAAATAGAATATTAAATCATCAAATATAAAAGTGTCCTCTACAACAACTTCAAAGACAAGATTGCCTCCATTTGTATAAAGTCAATTTTTATCAGTAAAATAATTCCTCTTTAAGTTAGTTAACCGTTTTTAATAAATGTTCGACTTTTAGAAAATTGTTTCCAAAGGTAGGTATTTTTACCCTGATTCCGGGAAACTGTTTATTTTTGGGGGGACGAGTCCATGTCTTAAACCAAGCGTTCGGGTCAAAAATATGGGGTCCCGGATCCGCCCCAAGAAAAAAAGTTTCTCAGAATCAGAGTAAAAATACCTACCAAAAAAATTGAATTTTTACTAAACTAGAGTTAAGCCGGGGATAGTTGTTCGAAGCCTTTCTAGAAAACCAAATTTACTTACGTTATGTTGCTTAAGCATTTGATAAAGTTCAGCTTGATAGTGATATATCGGCAATTCCTGCTTATCCCGAAATAGTTCATTGCTTATGCGTTGCGGTCTCGGTGGAACCATGCGTGGCCCCAGGGCCACCGACAACGATTCACTGCGTATACCTTTGTGTCGATGTGTGTTCGATTGCAATAGAGCCTGATTGGCAACCAATTGTGATTGTATGGCCGGCATTAGAGTTTGCAGCATAGCCCTGGTGGCCGGAGCCATGTGCAACGGCTGAGAATCGCCCAGTGTCACTAGTCGTTTACGTTTACTTATGTGTAATTCTCGATTGTTCTTCGAGCCATAACTTTTGCTCTTTAGACCCCGTTGTGCAGCATATTGATGTAAATACTTTCGATGTAAGTTACTGAGACCCTTCAGCACAATCTCATCTTCGGCACTGGCAAGAAAATTTGCTATTTTTGTTTGCAACGGCAGTCGATCGCTTTCCGGTATGTTGACACGTTCAACTTTACCATTGTTACGGTTTCCAGAGTTCGACGAATGTGCAGAATTGGAATTGGTGGAACCGGCTGGTGGTTTTTGACGACGTCTTCGAGTCGCATTTGCATTTGTTGACATTTTTGTGTGGTGTGTGGAATTTTACACTCTGCAATCAATCACAGCGTGTGGACTTTGTTGCTTTTTCCGCTTGTATACTTTGCGTAACGATTAGTAGATGTGTTTTTTATGGTAAAGCGCGCTGGAAAACAATAGTTGTTGTTAATATTTTTATGTTAAAATACATTTATGTTTGGCTGCTTTTCACTGAAAAAGTACGAATTAGCGATGTAGAAATCGACTATTGAATAATCGATAAACCGATAAAACAAAAAATTTCAAAGGCGTCGTAAAATACTTGACGCCGTTGAACTACCGGCCAGTGATCAGCCGCTCAACCATATTACAGTGCTATGTCTTTTCTATTCACGAAAAAATGATATCCCGGTTTTGAGAATCAATGAGAAGTGATAACTTTTCATTATATTGGAATAGAATTAAAAACTTTAAATAGTTTTCTCTTCGGCAAATACGATATATGTGGCATAAAAGGCCTTCAAAATGTCTCGTATAAAAGGAATTTGGACGTGGTGATCAACTGCAGGAGTGCTCTTACATGTTAAACCTCAGACGTAGTCCTGACTTTTGGTCTGTTCCAGAACTGCAAAACAGTACAACTTTTTACCGTGATAACAGATTTTACCTTTAAAATTGAAAAAAATCGCAAAACCAGTAGATTCTTCTGGAACAGACCAATTTTTAAAAAAAATCACTGCTTAAAATTTTCAGATTTTTTTTTTCTATGGCCAATATATCTTTTCGGACAAGTCCAATAGGAGTTCTTTAAAATATCAATAGAATTCCTAGGAATATTTCGTGAAAGGATGCTACCTATGCAGAACGAGAAGTTAACGATAATTTTTCAATAACGACTAACATATGCTTTGTTCCAGTAGCTGCAAGAATCTACTAGTTTTGGAATGTTCTTCGATATAATAAAGGGAAAATAAAAACTTTTACATTCTTGCAGTTCAGAAAAACGTGACTTGGGATTTCTTGTTCCGAAAAATTATGCTTGCATTATATTGCATTTGAAAGATCTTGTGGACTTCTATCAAATATCTTTCGTGGGTCTCCTCTGTGTAGGAAACTTTTAAAACGTTTCTAAAAAAGAAAAATACATACCTTTACTTGCGTAGACGTGTTAGATATTATAACCGTCTGGAGATATAAGACCTAGTAAATTCTTTTTTTTTTTCTATATTCCCTCCACCTTGAAAAGGTCTAAATATTCGATGTAGACCACATAAATTATATATATATATTCATAATCAGCTTAAAATTCTATGTCGATTTAACGATGTCCGTCTGTCTGTAGAAATCACGATACAACCCACATTATTTGACGTAGAGCTTCAAAATTTGTCAGAACAATTTGTATTGTGTCTAGGATGATTGGTATTGAAAAAAAAGATATATCGGTCCACGTTTTGGTACAGTCGCCATATCACAGTACCTCCCGATATTCGGTATTTTGATGATTTTCGCTACGGATTTGTCTAAAAATTGATAGTTCCACGTTTTATATAGCGTACATTTAACGGAAAGATATTTTTCGGGAAGTTTTTAGATAGAAAAAGTCTTCTTTGTACTCCTTAAAGAAACTTAATCCGGCTGACTTAAAAAAAAAAAAAACTATTTACTGCACTTTGATATTTCTAGATTTGTTGGCTTGTAATCATACTCTAAATTGATTGTTTTGGATTTCTCCGTAGGCCTTCCTACGTTTATTAAGACAAATGAAGATATCTAAAATTCATACTCATTTCGTAATTAAAATAAACTACCTATTATTCTAAATAGTACAAAAAGAAATAATTTACATTTAAAGCTCATTTTTAAACTATTATTTCTCATCACTAGAATAATCTTCTTCATCATCATCGTCATCACTAAACTCATCGCTGCTATAGTCCTCCTCATCGGAATCGAAATCAAATTCATTATCATCGTTATCCTTAAGTTTAAGTTGTTCGATTTTCTGCAGTAACTCATCCCTGGTATGAGGTATTCTAGGTTTAGCTTTTGGTTTGATGTCACCTTCATCACCATTTTCTTCCTGGCCACCATTCTCGGCAGTTTCTTTTTCCTCTTGATTCTCCGCATCACCATCCTCTACCTTATCCTTTTTACCCTTTTCCATGTAACGCAAGAAGGCTCGTCGTTTTCTTTCGGGGAACGATTTAATTAAACGTTCCATTTCTACCTTCAATTTGAGCTCCTCTTCCGGAGTCGGCTGAGGTGGTTCAATCTCCACTTCTTCGGCACTCTTTAAACATTTTGCACACACCCTGGCGTCCAGAGCACAATCTCGACACAAAACATGATATGCCTTGCGGATTTTCTTCTGCTGACATTTGGTACAGGTTTTGGGTTGTGTTAAAGGCTTATATTTCTTGTATTTGATTTTCCATTCTATAACACCTTTACAATGCTGGCAAACTTCTGAGATGTGCAGGGAATTGAGTCGTTTCTGGAGCGGCGTTTTGTCGTGTAAATCATTCTTGAACACTGTACGATTTTTATGCTTTTGAGCACGAGTACGTGATGCATTGCCACGTTGAGTACTCATGACGGCGGAAAGTGGCGATTTTAATTGAAAATATTTACAAATATAATATTTCTAAAAATATTAGTCTTCCCAAAACTGTTGACTCAATGAAAAACGTGTTGCTCCCTTGCCAATCAAAACAAAAACTAATCGATAAACTGAAAGTCGTTATCGATATTTGTATAAACGTCTACAGTAATTTCTCCTTATTGTCGTTTTCTTTTTAAATATATGTCATATTTAATCGTTTTCATTACATTATGTGTAGCATACTTTTAGGATTAGGATATTGCGAAAACTTTTTTTCTATTATTTTACATCCGAGTTTACATTTGGCAAGTTTATTTGTGCAAGACTATGCTTGTAGGAAAGAAGTGAGAACAGGAAAATGGAAATGGGAAAAAATCTCATAATGATAATTGCTGTACCTGTTCCAGAACTGGTTAAAACTGGTTCTTTAATCTATTGAACCTAATTGAAACAGAACTATCTACAATCAGATGCAAAAAGTTGTTCTCACGCAATATACGTTTCTTCCCATTATGTATTTTGAAAATTATTTGTTTTTATTTTTCAAAACAATAAATGCCAATACAAAATTGGCAAAAGTCGGACACACTCGGCTGGTAGCTCTACCATAACTTTTTATTGTACCATGGTTGGTCTGTGATATTTGATGAATTCGTTTCTCTCCAATGATCGTCTTTATAGTAACTTCGCCTTAATATATGCAACATAATTTATAGTCAGATTAATATTGTGATGTAAACACGTCCAAAAGAGAAAAATGTAAAACGTTGATATTGTTTTCATTAGTTGAAGTCAAAAATGTCTAAACAACTTTTTTTTGGGAAAATAAAATGATAGATTCAAAATTTTATTAAAGGATTATACTTTTGGACGAAGATATCAATCATTTGGTACTAAATCAACAAAATAATTTAAATGCTTAACAAATTGACATTATTTTTGGAAAACATAATGGAATAGATCAAGGACTCTGGAATAGGTGTTTTGTAATTTTGTCAATTGTCAGCCACAAAGAATAGTTTTGAGTCCCTAATCGCTTTTTTTTTTATTTTATTCCAGATAACCACTGATCCCCCATGTTCAATCCTTGTAAATAGCATCCATCCAAACAAAATGCGGGACTTGAAACAATGTCTTATGGATCTGTTGCGTTCGGGTGGCATTGGCGTGGGCGACAACACAAATCTAAATTCAACGAATACTACCTCAAAACTACTTCAGAAACAGCAACAACGGCACAACAAACCAAAGAAATTACATGAATACACGGCGGCAGATTGCAATAAGGCATTTCTGCGCAAATACTATGACGTTGGTAATCCGTTTCCCCGCAGCAATGCAACAAATGAAGTCATCTATTTTAATGAAAATCTCACCATGACTAGTAAATATGATATGGGTAGATATCCACAATTAAATCGCTATCCTTCATGTCCTCTGAGTAACATTGGCAACAGTGATGATAGTGTATCACCAACAAGTTCACGTTCGGATAATCATAATACGGATGATAGTGAATTAAGTCGTCGTTTTGATTATTCATCATCGGAAGATGATAGAGCAACACTGGTCGATTGTTTCCATCGAACAAATGCCCTGCACATAAGCGGATTTGATGACATCGATGGAGCCGAGGACCAGCTGGATTCTTTTTGTACCCTATGTACATCGAGTTTTAGTTACAACAAATGTTGTCGTTACTGTGATAATTCACGTTGTGGTTCACAATGTAATTCAGAACATACTGCAAGTCTGCGTAAGGTTCAAAGGAATCCACAAGCAACGGTGGCCAAAAGGTAAGTTTAACAAATTGGGAACGATGGTATTTGGCTTTCTTTTTTTTATTATCGAACATAGTTTCTTACATATTTGATTTAAACTAAAACTTTGTTTGGTTTCCTTTTTTATCTGTGTGGGATTTTTAGTTTTAAGTTTTCAGTTACATGTTTTCGTTTTCTTTCATTGTTATCTCTTTTTGTATACATGGTATATGAAATATTCTTAAAATCAATCAACAAAATAATGGCTATATTTTTTATATTATTGCAAATTAAGAATAGAGTTTATGGAGTAGATGCAAATGTGTTCTACATTTTGTGTTGTTCACGTTGCAGACGACTGCCATAGGTGCGAGATACCAAATTCCAGGAGTCCATAAACCGATCCATACACATGGAAATGCATTTCTGAAAGGGGAAAAAAAGAGAACATTAGAATACAAGTATTAATAAGTTGGATGGAAATTACATCGCTAAATTAATTTCAAAAGATTATCGCAAATATAAAATATTTATTCTGCGACAAATAAAATAAAAATAATACAAGTGACAAATTTAGGATTCAATCTTTTGGACCTGAAACTAATCCTCAGTCTTCCGCGAATGTTTTTATGGGTGGGCAAACGAACTTAATATGAGAATTTGAGACTTTAACAATTGAACTATGAAATACCAGCTTCGTCGAGCAAATAATCTCTGTCAACTTGGAGAGTAGTTGTTTTAATTAGTAATCGGCAAATTTGTCTTAATTAAGGTGTATTTACAGTTAGCCTTGGTAATAACCAGTTCTAATCTGCTGTAAAATGTTTAGACTTCGTGCTTAATTATAAATCAATATGTAAACGATCTAAGTTTTTTTAATTCTATGAGGTGGATATTCACTTGGTTGTGTTCCGTATTTCTTTTTGTTATTTCAAAATAATCTGGAGAAGTATGAAATGTTTGTGGCGTTGAAAGCCTCGGTAGCGATCTCATACAGTTCAAATAATTGTTTTTAAGGAGAGTTTCTTAAATAACTCCTGGGAATACATATCCATTTAACAAACTAAGGAATGATGAGGATAAGTCGTATTTCCCGAAACCATGGTATTCGTAGTTTTATACTCTGGTAAACGTTGCCGTTTTTCACCAATAGTAAATAAAGATTAGACCTGAAATATTTGAAATAACTTTATCAATGAAAACTGGGCTTAAATTGAGTTTAGATCCGGCTGACGAACTAATGTTTTTTTTTTTACAAAATTTCCCAAAAGAAGTTCATTTTAGATTTAATCCTTTTCTTAAATGGTCGGCCTTTGGCCGGGACTTGAGGTTTTCTCCTCTGGGGTGGGATAACAAGACTATCTTCGGTAAAAATTTCAGAATTTTCCGCCATCTGGACCTAAACTAATTTTGTTCCGAAAACTGTCGACTAACAGACTTTTATAGAATACATTAAGTCCGCTTATAACTAATTACTGTGGAATAGGCCACATATTCATAATCCCTCAAAATTCTTCGGAAATGGTAAGAGCTTTATACCGATCCAAGCATTTCCAATATACAATCTCGTGTTTTTATCTCTAAATGTGTTGTCTTTAATAGCTAACATTGTATACCAAGTCCAAATGAGAAGACCACATTGACTACGCTATATTCGAAGACCTAATTTTTAACTGAATTCGTCACTGAAAGGCCTCACAAGAAATGTTTATGCCAATAAAAAAAAAACTTCACACATTGCCACAAAACCACTCACCTGTTCCGATGAATCCAATGAGGTGCCGGGCTTATTTATGCACTTGTTAAAGCATTTCTCCGTCATTTTCTGTAACAAAACCAACATATAATTAGTATTTTATACATAATCTTTAATTTACAAATAACTCTGTTTAATCCTCCATTCATTTTGTTCCTTCTTTGGAAGTTTTTCTGATTAGGTAATACTACGGTGGTGTCGGGGGGGCAATAAGTCATTTGGCTGTGAATTAACCTACCGTCAATAGTTCCTGAGCATTGGCTACGGCAATTTGTTGTTTAACTTGTTCCATTAGTTCACCTTTATCGGCACTTGACAAATTTGATAGGCCAGACATTTTGATTTGATTTTTTTTTTCGGAATTACTTCTCAAATGAACAACAAACGGCGGCGATAGCTTTAACAAATTTACAGCAAAAGAAAAATTACTGCTGCGGGCTGTCAGTCTAATGTTTTTTTACTCGAAAATAACATAACATGTGTAAGTGGTGTAATAACGGCCATAGTTGGTAAATGTCATTTGGTATTTCACCACAATGCTGTGTTGTATTATTTGTTAGGAGGTGTAATGGGTTGAGACTTTAACTAAGACGTATGGGAAGTGTTAGTTAACGCTGAATTAGAAAAAAATTGTCAGAATTAGCCAGAAGTTATTGAAAATTAATGCATCATCTTAATTCACATTCAACAAAAAGTACAAAAAAAAACACAAAATAACAGTATATTGTACTTATGAAACATTTGATCCATGTCTGATCAGAGATTAAGTACTGATATCTGTAGGAGGATTCTTTATATATATAAATATATACTTCCGTTACCGACAAAAATAACTGTCAAATACAAAATGTTCATGTTTTTATTGGTAGGACAGCGACAACTAAATATAATTAAAAAAAATTGCCGTTATTGATAATATTCACTTATCTTTAAAAAAATAGAGCTCTCCTCTAATATGTCTATGTTTTCTTTAGCTATTTTTGCAGCTGTCAAAACATTTTTGAATACAAAATTTTGAATGAAAAATTATATTAATTTGTTGAAAATTACGTGTCAAACCAACCTCGGAACGGTTCGTATAAGAAATAAAAAATTTGGACTCACTGTGATCGAAAAAATATATATGTACTTTACTCACGTATTTCACAACTGAAATGTCGTCCATGTATCACACTTCTGCACATGGCAAATTTGGCACTATATATCCAAAACTCTTATCGATTTCTATAAAAAGTTGACTTTTCCATTTTTCGACTTTATTCAATCTATTAAAAATCAGTTTTCCATTTTGACTTAAAGCGCGTTTAGATAAAAAATTGTATCCGGCTAAACCCATATTATTGGTATTTATTGTTTAATCCGGATCTATTCAACCAAGGTACAATAAGGAGGTAGAAAAGCTTCTTAAAACTACAGAAATACAGCCCTGTTTCTAAGCCAGCTTTCTCTCAGAATTATTTACAATTATATGTAACAAGTTGTTTTTATTTATTTAAAAAAATTATATTTCTTAAAATGAGTTATATAGCGCAAAAAATGATTGAGATGCCTCCTAATGGTGTATGTAAACACACGAGAATTTGGTACTGTGTCCATGGTAGAAGAATACAGGTAGATGCAACAACGCTTGGGAACATTGATATGTCACAAATTTTAACATGTTTCTTCAAATATAAGTAGATTTTTATATGTTTTCTTACACGAAGTTAATCGGATGTTATTATGATAAGCGTTTTCAAACATATTTTACAAATTGAATAATTTTTCAATCAAAATTTTCAATCTCAAAATTGATTTCATTTTCGCAACAGCTGTGTCGATGCCACTACCTGTATTTTTCTACCATGACTGTGTTCATTAAACCCAGTGGGTTAATCTTCCATAGTTTAAATGTGCTATAAAGACTTTTTCATGGACCTTATTAAAATAATTATTTGGGTTGTATGAAAATGAAAAGTCGGCCAAACATCTATAATCACAAAATCTAAAATCAATTGCGAAATGTCGGATAGAAAACTACAACTGAGATTGAAAACCCTCATCTGTCAAAATGTTTGTTTACGTTTTCATACGTTTAATTCACAATGACATGTAATTTCTCTGACATTAGGTGTGTCTGGTTACCCTAAAATTTTCAGCACTTGTTGCAAATTGTTACTAAAAGCCGTCTGTTAACACGAAAGATCTTTAAAAGAGAGAGAGAGAGAGAACAATTTTGACAGTTCTTTAACTGAGAGTTTTGCAAATACTCGTTGGACAAATTTCTTCTTGCAACTCTTCTTCTTCTTTTCCATCCGGTGTGTTATATTTGGGCAATCAATTATTAAACATCTTTATTTTGAAAATAGAAAGTCGAGTTGTTTTGTTTTTCGACACATTTTTAATTTTTTCGCGCTTCATTTCATTTTTATTGCGGATAAATTGTTTTGTTTTGACAAAACAACTGATTGCTTGGAAGCTTTTGCAGGGATTACGTCTGTTCACTTTTCAGATTTTACCTTACTCTCTCAGAAAGAAGTTGCTGGACAATTCCTGCAGGAAAAGTAACCAGAATATGAATATGGATGAAATCAGCTGGTCTTATCGGATAACCCATGGTAGAAGAATACAGGTAGTCGCATCGACATAGCTGCTGGGACAATGAACTGTCAAACCGATTTTGGAATTGAAAATGATAAATGAAAAATAATTGGAATTTGTAAAAATTGTTGAAAAATACATATCGGAAAAACCTCCGATTTGCGTCGTATGAGAAAATATATAAAAATCTACTTATTTTTGACAAAACATTTTAAAAATTTCGACATATCAATGTTCCCAAGCGTTGATGTAACTACCTATATTCTTCTACCATGGGATAACCTAAGCGATAGGGCATGCAAATGTTTACTTCGGATTTTAGATTTTCAACAACACGAGTCGATCAATCGACGATTTTCCGCCATTCAGAAGATTGATGATGGTGATGGTAAACATGGAGTATTCCCAATTAACTTCGCATAAATGTAGGGGATTATTTCCACTTATTTTACTATTTTAAAACATTTCATATTTGCAGATCGTAATATTGAACGCACATTAAACATTCGTCTTTTTTGAAAGACACCAATGCCACTCATCATTAAAAAAATACATTCAAATAAACCAGCTATTGCAGAAAAGTGTTCAAATCCCCCCTTCACAAAGTTGTGGAATCACCCGTTTTATTCATGTCTGACGATGATGTTATTATAGCCCGAATTAAAGGATATCAATTAATTACCTGTCATCAGTCTGCACAGACGTTGTTGATGGTCTGACATTTCGTCTGCCATCAAAGTCCTATTGCGATGTTAACAAATCTGTTTTGGAGTCTCTGTTTCAAAAATTATTTACGCATTCCGCAACATTACAGTTTCACTTGTAAGCGTTTAACCTGTTTTGTTTTTAATGACATTTTACGGTGTTTAGAGCAAGCAGCAATGCATTTTTTGTTTGTTTTCCCCTCCAAAAGAAAGACCTTATTGTGCATTTCACTCGAAGGCGTGCAACCAAGCCATTACGTATTGGTGATGATGGTGAAGAAAAAAGAAAAACTAAAACATTCAAAATAATGTTTAGGCAAATATTGCTTCTTTGCCTCCCTCTGCCATTTGAGCGGAGTTGCGATGCCTCGAATAAGTAGTAAAGTTGTCTTGTTTATTTTTTGTGACATGTTTAGATAAATATAAAATAGCAACTTTATATCGTTTGTATGGGCCACTACATGGAAAGGACTAAATATCATGGTAGAAGAATATAGGTAGACGCATCGACACAGCTGCTGGGACAATGAACTGTCAAACTAATTTTGGAATTGAAAATGTTGAATGAAAATTTATTTCAATTTGTAAAAACAGTTGAAAAACGCTCATTATAATAGCCTCCGAATGATGACGTATAAGAAAACGCATACAAATCTACTTATATTTGCAAGAACATTTAAAATTTTTTGACATATCAATGTTCCCAAGCATTGATGCATCTACCTGTATTCTTCTACCATGACTAAATATGAGGTGTGTCTGGTTACCCTAAAATTTGTAACAATTGTTACAAATTGTTACTGGAAGTCGTCTGTTAACCCGAAAGTTCTGCAAAAGAGAGCGGTTGGAGAGAGAAATTTTGACAATTCTTTCAGTGAGAGTTTGCAAATTCTTGCTGGAAAAATTTCTTCTTGCAATCACTTGCAACTCTTCTTCTTCTCATTCATCGACATTCAATCAGATGTTTTCTATTGTTTGTTTATTTCTTTTTGTGATTTCAATTTGAAAATGTTTTTTGGAATTAGCAAGACTAATAGTTTTTGGAGAACAACTTTACAAAATGTGAAAAACGTAAATGTTAATATTCAATAAGAAAATAAACGACTATTTCCAACATTTTTATTTAAAAACTTGTAAAATTAGTATTGCTTCCTTTGTTTTAATTCTCCTTATGGGGGACAAATTGGGACAAAAGGGACAAAAAGAAGTTACTGGACAATTCCTTATATTAATGTGTTCGAAAAACATTGTACATAGGTGTGTCTGGTTACTTTTCCTGCGGAAATTTTCCAGCAACGTCTTTCTGAGAAATTAGGGTAGTATTATTATCATTTGCAAGAAAACTGAATAGTAATCAGACGGAATGCTTGAAAAAACTGATTTGTCAAGACAAAACTATTTGGACGACAGAAATTAAAAATGTCCGAAAAAACCAAGCAATTGCTCTGCAAATTTTCAAAATACAGTTGTTTTTAAATTGCTTGTCCAAATATAAATCACCGGAAGGAGAAGAAGAAGAGTTGTAAATGATTGCAAGAAGAAACTTGTTCAGCAAGAATTTGCTGAGAATTTTTATTGTCAAAATTGTTTCAATTTTGACTTAAAGCGCGTTTAGATACAAAATTGTATCCGGGTAAACCCATATTATTGGTACTTATTTCAACCATGGTACAATAAGGAGGTAGAACAGATTCGTAAAACTTCAGAAATACAGCCCTGATTCTATGCCCGCTTTCTCTCAGAATTATTTACAATTATATGTAACAAGTTGTTTTTATTTATTTAAAAAAATTATATTTCTTAAAATGAGTTATATAGCGCAAAAAATGATTGAGATGCCTCCTAATGGTGTATGTAAACACACGAGAATTTGGTACTGTGTCCATGGTAGAAGAATACAGGTAGATGCAACAACGCTTGGGAACATTGATATGTCACAAATTTTAACATGTTTCTTCAAATATAAGTAGATTTTTATATGTTTTCTTACACGAAGTTAATCGGATGTTATTATGATAAGCGTTTTCAAACATATTTTACAAATTGAATAATTTTTCAATCAAAATTTTCAATCTCAAAATTGATTTCATTTTCGCAACAGCTGTGTCGATGCCACTACCTGTATTTTTCTACCATGACTGTGTTCATTAAACCCAGTGGGTTAATCTTCCATAGTTTAAATGTGCTAT